TGGTCCAAATGCATTCTTGTGTATGTTGTCTAGTTGTCCTTCCCCATTTGTTGAAAAGACTATATTCTTTCTCTATTAAATAATATTGACACCCTTATGAAAAATCAATTGACCAGAAATGTATGGGTTTATTACTGGACTCTCAATTCTATTCCATTGATCTATATGTCTATCTTCATGCCAGTACCACCCTGTTTTGATCACTGTCACTTTTGGTAAGTTTTGAAATTGAGAAGTGTGAATCTTCCAACTTTGTTCATTTACTCCAAGTCTGTGTTGGTTATTCTAGGTCCCTTGAATTTCCAAGTGAATTTTAGTTTCAGCTTGTCAATTAAAAAAAAAAAGCATTTAAAATTTTGATAGGAATTGCATTGACTCTGTAGACCAATTTGGGTAGTTTTGCCACCTTAACAATATTAAGTCTTCCAATCTGTCAACACAGGATGTCTTCCCATTTATTTAACTCTTCTTTCATTTCTTTTAAGAAGGAAAATTATAACATTGAATGTACATGTTAGAAAAGAAGAATGATCTCAAATGAATATGCTTCCACCTTAGGGAACTTGAAAAATGAGAACAAATTAAATCCAAAATAAGTAGAAGAAAGAAAGAATAAAAATAAGATCAGAAATCAATGAGATTGAAAACAGGAAGTTAATAGAGAAAAATCAATGAAACCAAAAGCTGGTGCTTTGAAAAGATCAAATAAAACTGATAAGTCTCTAGCCAGGCTAACCAAGAAAAAAAGATAGATAAAATGGACCAATTTCTTGAAGGATATAATCTACCAAAACCCTACATGGAGAAATAGATAATGAACAAGACTATACCTATTAAAGAAATTAAATTAACATTTAATAACCTTCTAAAAGAGAAAGAGGCATGCTTAGATAGTTTCACGGGTGAATTTTACAAAACTTTTAAAGAAGAATTAATACTAACCTTTCTCAAACACTTCCAAAAAACAGAAGAGGAGGAAAGACTTTCTTATTCACTCTGTGAGGCTAGCACTACCCTAGTATTCAAACCAGACAAATACATTACCAGGAAAGAAAATTACAGACCAATTAGCTCTCATGAACACAGAAGAAAAATTTTCAACAAAATATCAGCAAATCGAATCCAACAATGTATAAAAAGAATTATACACCATGACTAAGTAGAATTTATCCCAGATATTCAAGGCCGGTTCAAAATTCTCAAATAAGTTAATGTAATTCATCATATCTTCTTTCTAAAGAAGAAAAATAATATGATCATATTGATAGATGTAGAAAAAGCATTTGACAAAATCCAATACCCATTCATGATAAAACCTCTCAGCAAAAAAGGAATAAAGGGGAACTTCTTCAACTTGATAAAGAGCATCTACAAAAAACCTACAAATAGCATTATACCTAATGGTGAGAAGCTAGGTGCTTTCCCCCTAAGATAAGGAGCAAGACAAGGATGTCTCCTCTCAGCACTCCTCTTCAGCATAGTACTGGAAGTCCTAGCCATTGCAGTTAGACAAGAAAAGGACATTAAAAGCATGCAGATTGGGAAGGAAGAAATCCAATTGTCTTTGCTCACAGATGATATGATTGTCTATGTAGAAAATCCCAAAGAATTAACCAAAAAAAAAAACCTTCCTGGAACTAATAAGCAATTATATCAAGGTTTCAGGGTACAAGGTTAATATACAAAAGTCTGTTCTTTCCTATATACTAGCAATGAACAATTGGAATTTGAAATTAAAAGCACAACACTGTTTACCTTAGTACAAAAAAAAATACTTAGGTACAAATCTAACAAAATAGATATAAGATCTATATGAGGAAAACTATAAAACTCTGATAGAAGAAATCAATGGAGAGATATTTCATGTTCATGGATATTGTTAGTTGCTGTCAAGTCAGTTCTAACTCATGGCAATCCTATGTGCAACAGAACAAAACACTGCCAGATCCTGCACCATCTTTTTTCAGCACTGTATCAAACAATATTTGGTTGTGACCCATAGGGTTTTCGTTTGCTTAGTTTTGGAAATAGATTACCAGGACTTTATTCCTAGCCTGTATTAATTTGGAAGCTGCACTGAAACCTGTCCACCATGGGTGACCCTGCTGGTATTTGAAATACTAGTGACATAGCTTCCAGCATCACAGCAACACAAATGCCACCACAGTGCAACACACTGATAGATGAGTGGTGGCTATGTTCATGGATAGTAAGACAATATTATTAAGATGTCACTTCTTTCCAACTTGATCTATAGATTCAATGCAATCCTAATCAAAATTCCAGTAAGTTATTTTATAGATACTGACAAACTAATTCTAAAGTTTTTTGGAGAGGCAAAAGATGGAGGATAGACACTTCCTGAACTCAACACCTACTATAAAGCTGCAGTGCTCAAGATAATATGGTATTGGCTTAGGAATAGACAAGTGGATCAGTAGAATAGAGTAGAGAGCACAGAAATAGACCCACACAAATATAGTTAACTTTTCTTTGACAAAAGGACTCTTATGTGCTTCTTCCTTTGGCTGATTTTAATCTGGAGACTTTAGCTGTAATAAACTGTAATTATGAATATAACAGCTTTCAGTGAGTTCTGTAAGTCCCTTTGGCATCTTATCAAAACTGAGAGTGGTCTTGGGGACACCAGTACTTGGAATTAGTGTCAGAAATGAGGGTAGTTTTGTGACTGTTGCATAACTTTACAGTTAGCTAACTTACAACGTCCATCAGCAACAGTCCCCGGAGCAGAGGGTCGAAAACGTGTCTTAGCTACATATTACCATACTCATTGCCCTCGAGTAGAATTCCGACTCATAGCGACTCTATAGGACAGGGTAGAACTGCCCCATAGGGTTTCCCAGGATGTAATCTTTACAGGAGCAGATTACCAAGTCTTTCTCCTGCAGACCACCTAGTGGATTGGAACCTCGGGCCTTTCGGTTAGAAGCCCAGTGCGTACTCATTGTGCCACCAGGGCTCCTTAGTTACATATTAGTAGGTTAAATATGACTAGGGGATGCTCCCAGGAAGGCAGCTGATTATCTTTCTGAGCTTCCAAAGTTCTCCCCTTTCTTATCCTCTTCTTTCCTTCCAATTCTTTTGTCTACTTTTTTTTTTTTTTTTTAATGGGTAGGAATCTTGGAGGGACCCCTTT